CGATGATGCGTCAGACACTTTTATCCCATCAAGTTTATGTGTACTCGGTAATCCTCTATGTTGTTTTGAACATCAACCACGTTATTAACACCCTTTTACCCCATCTATTGCACTGGAAAGTGTTATGAAATAAATGCTCAATTTTTTAGTTATGAATAAATAAGATTTTTACATCGCTTTGTCTTAATAAACATTATTGTCGACATCAATCACAACATCTTTTGTTCAAATGTTAAATTAATATTAATTAAATGTATATGTTTCAATGTTTTAATCTTGAAATGATCAAATATATTTATTTTGAATATAATTCAAAATTCAATAAATAAAATTAAACATTCAAAAAAATAACAATGTGATAAGGATAAATAAAAACAAAGGGATGGATATATAGGTAGCAAATGGGGATAAAAAAGTTGGTTTAACCAACATTTTTAAGAAAGCCATAAAATGTTGGTTGAACCAACGTCTTTAAGAAGATGTTGGTCAGACCAACGTTTATGTCACTGTTTAAAAAATAAAGGTTTTTTTTTAAATGTTAGTTGAAATGACGTTTTTAGAGAAAATGTCAGTCAAAATAACGTATTTTGGTATAAAAATGTTATTCTAACTAATGTTTTTAAAAGTGCCTGGATTTTGAAAATAGTTTGAAAACTGTCATCTTTTGTGTATAAGTTTGAAAAAAAGCATGGGTTAGGGTAAAAGCTTCAACACTTGGTAGTACTAATTATGACTCAGTCTAGTGGTTATCTTTTATCTCACGTTTTAGGTTAAGAGGTATTCATTGAACTGTTAGAAAAAATGGTTTTAAACAAGATTATTTGAGCAATTTAAGGCTTAAATAAAAGTGGGACTTAAACCTCAAAATTGGTGGGATCAAGTTTAAACGCGTCCTTCTCTACGATGAAATGAACGTCCTATATTTATTTGTTTAAAACTATTAAATATTGAATGATAAATTATGTCTCAAATTGACCCATTTGAAGTGATGAAATAAATTAAGATAGGTGTAGTGAAATAAGGTTTATCCTACATTAGAAGAAAACTGACACTTTGGTGAGTTCATATACTCCTAATTGGCTTTATGGGTTGGGTCACAAGGGGTTCCACATTTTTGTGAGCAGGACGAGCGCTTACACTATCTTAGTTACCAAACACGCGCTGCCCAACACAACTCAACTAGGCTTGGGCTTGGGTCAAAAAGATATAATTTTTTTAGACAAAATTCATTTGGTGCGATGTAAATTGTGGGTCAATCCAAACGGTTCAGTCTACGAATCGGTTTCGGCCTCCAACAAAAATTTAATGTCCAACCGGATTAAATTCTAACAAAAATTTAATTTCTCCTTGTGCCCGTTAGTTTTAATAATGTAGAAGATGAGAGCATTTTGTATCAATGTATTTTGATTGCGACATATGAAAAGGAATGTGAAGTTCTTATCAATCTGACAATCTCTTATACATGCTTTACTTTTTCTCCTCCGTATGATCAATGGATCCTAATTTGTGCACCAATGCATACCCATGTGCACTTAATTCCCAATATGTGATCTGGCTAACAGCGAAAACATCTCCAATTTCACTGCCTTGGACCATGAAATATAGCATATTCACTGTCTCATACTTTGAAATGTATATAATCAGATTTCTTTTAATGTGTATCAATGTATATATATTGTTGTTGTGATAGCAACTGTTGAACTTTTTCATTCGGAATCCATCACTTAATACATTATTATGTCAATAAATTAAATTAATTTTTTAAATCTCAATAACATTACTCAGAATCTCAATTCATTATATAGTCTCTTCGTTTAAGTACTAAAACATACAATAAAGCACTAAAGAAATCATGTAGGAACCCTTCTCCACACAGCACATCATTCCACTCATTTCTACGTGAATGACTCCTTATATCAATTCCATAGCTCACCTCCTTTTTTTGNATCATTCCACTCATTTCTACGTGAATGACTCCTTATATCAATTCCATAGCTCACCTCTTTTTTTTTTTTTCTTCTTAGAATTTTCTCTTGCACGCTTTTGTCAAGAATCGTGATTAGGAATGATAATCGAACTGAATTACTCAAATTTGATTTGTTTTGAGCTCGTTTTGGACTCAATTTTTTTTCTAAATAAACCACGCTTGAACTGAATTACTTGAGTTTAACTTGTTTTGAGCTCGACTTCTTTTTTCTTCGTAGCATGTTTGTCTTGCACATTTTTTAACAAAAAATCCGACACCATAGTTATCAGAACTGGACCGGACCGGTCGATCAAATCGGTTGAACCGTGAACTGGGACATAAAACGGTCTGATTCTTTAGTTAGACCGTCTAAGGAATCAAACCGCNCTCAAATTTGATTTGTTTTGAGCTCGTTTTGGACTCAATTTTTTTTCTAAATAAACCGTGCTTGAACTGAATTACTTGAGTTTGACTTGTTTTGAGCTCGGTTTCTTTTTTCTTCATAGCATGTTTGTCTTGCACATTTTTTAACAAAAAATCGGACACCATAGTTATCAGAACTGGACCGGACCGGTCGATCAGATCGGTTGAACCGTGAACTGGGACATAAAACGGTCCGATTCTTTAGTTAGACCGTCTAAGGAATCAAACCGCTTGAAAACTGTAAAATCGATCAGTTTTGGAGAAGAACTGTGAATCGCAAGAGTTTTGCAAACCAGACGATTGACGATCAGATCGACAAACAGCAATTCAGGTGATAAGCTCAAAGCTTAGGCGACCTCCACTCAGCAACTCAGGCCACGAACAACCTTGACTCTTTCACTCCATTTGTCTGACTTAGAAAATGAACCGCCTTGACTTTCGGGCGACGAATAATCTCGGGTGATGAATAATCTCATAATCTCGTATCATCTCTTCTCTTTGACTATTTCCCTCTCTCTCCCCGTCTACTGAACACACACACANCTCAGCAACTCAGGCCACGAACAACCTTGACTCTTTCACTCCATTTGTCTGACTTAGGAAACGAACAGCCTTAACTCTCGGGCAACGAATAATCTCGGGTGATGAATAATCTCATTATCTCGTATCATCTCTTCTCTTTGACTATTTCCCTCTCTCTCCCCGTCTACTGAACACACACACACCGTCAGCTAAAGACACACACACACCCCCCANGACGAATAATCTCGGGTGATGAATAATCTCATAATCTCGTATCATCTCTTCTCTTTGACTATTTCCCTCTCTCTCCCCGTCTACTGAACACACACACACCCCACCATCTTATACAAATTTAATATTTCTATTTGGTCATTGATTTGAAATTTAAAAAAGTAATACAACTTTTTTCATGTTGAGAAGACAAAAAGACAGATTTGTCTTGTCTTGTCTTTTCTTTATTATACATATTACATACCAGGGAAATAATTTCTTAATATCGTCTACTTTTTTTACTCTATCTACTATTTTACTTTTCTTTTGGTTTGATAAGATTACGTGGCAATGGTTTTAATTTTATAGTAAATTATACATGTATAATGAAAATGTTTCATATTTTTTAGTTAATATATATTTTTTATTTTTTTATTAAACGACCGGTCTGATCAGTAGACTTTATGGTTAAACCAGTGAACCATTAACTCGATCTTTCACTGATTCAATGTTCAATCCAATTCTGATAACATTGCCGGACACTGTTGAAAATTGTGCACCACCTACTCTCTTAAAAATTGTCCCCNTTTATAGTAAATTATACATGTATAATGAAAATGTTTCATATTTTTTAGTTAATATATTTTTTTTATTTTTTTATTAAACGACCGGTCCGATCAGTAGACTTTATGGTTAAACCAGTAAACCATTAACTCAATCTTTCACTGGTTCAATGTTCAATCCAATTTTGATAACATTGTCGGACACTGTTGAAAATTGTGCACCGCCTACTCTTAAAAATTGTCCACCACCTACTCTTTTGAAAATTGTCTCGACTCTGTTAAAATTGGAGGATGAAATATAAATTTCACTGTCAAAAATAGAAAGTGAAACTTATATTTCACTATTAGAAATAGACGGTAAAACCATCAAAAACAAACAATTCACACATATTTCATTGCCTATCAATTATCATTGGATTTTGAAATCATCACAACCCAATAACCCCTCCAGTGACGCTAAAACAATAATTACCATCACCAAGTCACTCATCATTGAAGGGCTGCTTTTGATACCTTCTCTTGAGTTCATCTTCGTAAGCGAATATTTTTTCAGAGCAAATGAGATTCTTGGACGAAACGTGCTCATTCACTAGTGTGACGTTAATTACGTGATGTATAAGATGAATGTGAGTCTGACAATTTCATCTCGAATCTTCATATCTGAAAATTACCTTGCATATTAATCTCAAAAATGTACACAAAATTATTGATTGATTGATGGGTGAATAAGCATTTTTGTTGACATACGAATATTTTAACTGAAGCANGACAATTTCATCTCGAATCTTCATATCTGAAAATTACCTTGCATATTAATCTCAAAATTGTACACAAAATTATTGATTGATTGATGGGTGAATAAGCATTTTTGTTGACATACGAATATTTTAACAGAAGCGNATCTGAAAATTACCTTGCATATTAATCTCAAAAATGTACACAAAATTATTGATTGATTGATGGGTGAATAAGCATTTTTGTTGACATACGAATATTTTAACTGAAGCAAAAACATGCGTGCTCTATAGTACAATAAATTGTTCTATGTTGTCAACTAAATTGTCATCTCTCTTCAAAAAGCACAAGCATATGGTATGGTACCATTGGAATGACAAATCATATATATCAGTAACTGTAAGTCTTTTACCCCATGGCATTATCCCATGACAGCTGCAGCTAACTTTCTCTTGTCTGTTCTCATCAACGTTATGGTACCACAGAATACCTACCATTTGTCAGTTAAACTTTATAAATTTGTCTCATATGCTTTAGTGTGTGTGTGAGGGGGAAAGAGAGAGAGAGAGGAAGAAGAAGAAATGGATGCTAAAATTCATATTCTAGTTATCCCTTACCCCATTCAAGGCCACATAAATCCAATGTTGCAGTTCTCTAAGCGCTTGGCTTCCAAAGGTACAAGGGCCACTCTTGTCACCACCACCACCATTAGCAAATCCATGCAAGCCCGACCCAACTTAGTAGAGATCGAATCAGTTAATGACGGCTTCAATGAAAACAAGAAACCCGAGAGCGTCGACGCCTTCATCGAGAATTTCCGAGTGGTCATTTCAGAAAGTTTGGCACCTATCATCAACAAACATAGGACTTCGGGTTACCCTGTCAAAGTTCTTGTGTACGATTCAATGGCCCCATGGGCTTTGGACTTAGCCCATCAGCTTGGCCTATGTGCAGCTGCGTTCTTCACACAATCTTGCGGTGTAGATGCCATCTACTACCATATGCAACAGGGGACATTGAAGATTCCTAATCCTAAGGAGGAGGGTTCAAGTTCAATGCTGGTGTCGATTCCTTCATTGCCACTGTTGGCAGTCAATGATCTACCTGACTTGCACTTATACCCGTTATTATTGAGCGATAATATTAGCCAATTCTCAAATTTTCAGAAAGCTGATTGACTCTTGTTCAATACGTTTGACAAGCTAGAAGAGAAGGTACCATTCTCATTACATCTGTTCAAGCGATTGACATTGCAAAACTAGAACTTGATAGGGTCATAATACCCACAAATTGAACATGAACTTAAGCTGACAACATCATTCTTGATTTAATTGCGAAATTTACTTGGGATCATTCTCGATTTAATAGAGAAATCGACTGTTTGAAATAATGTAAAATACTTTTAGGTTATTGCATGTTGCCTTTTGGATCTAATCATAATTTACCCTGTCATAGACTACAAACTTATCAAAAAGTGGTAAATGATTGCTATAGAGTTGCATTTATAAAATATGGAATATTGTTAGTTGGAAGAGAAGTTCTGAATTTTATTCGCACAGATCGAAAAGTGGGTGGAACATGTTTTCCTAGGTCCAACATGGCTCCGCCACTGCTTATAGTTATCCTTTCGCCCAACAAAAAATTATGTTGCCCCTGGTGATAGGCCAAGGATGATCTTCTTTCGTTGGGATTGGCCACGTTTTGACACTTGGGCCCTTGGGCTTCTAAGATCTAAGTTCTAAGATCCATGAAATCCAAAAGGCATATGAGGATTATGTGACATTATGCAAACGGATATTTGGCCTTGGGTATATTTTTTTAGAGCTTATTTGACTTTAAATATTATAGTCAGACTTATATTTCATTAAGTTCTTTTTTTATCAAATAATTGTCATTAAGTACACATTTTAAATTCTTTTTTTTATTACCTAATTACCACTACTAAAAATATTGCATATCATTGTTAGTTTCAATGTTTTTAAATATAAAAATTCTTAACTTAAGAATTGTGCTAGCATTAAAATTATTTTTCTATATATATATATAAAGAGAGTAACATTAAAGAGTAACATACTCAACAAAAAAATAATAACATCAAACAATAACATGGTCAACAAAAAAATTATAATATCAAACAGTAAAATGTTCAATAAAAAACTTGGTTAAAAATTTAATCACTGCGATAGAGTGACACCATATTTGAGTTCTTAAAACTATTTTCTTCTCCACAACAAAATAAATACTCACTATATGGTGTCACTCTATTGTAAATGGTTAAATTTTTAATTAATTTTTTTTGTTGAGAATGTTACTATTTAATACTATTATATATATATATATATATATATAGGTTTTAATAGTAATACAATTCCCAATTTAGGTTTTAGTTTTTTCAAACAAAACTTGATTAAGTATAACTATTTAGGATATTTTAGACAATGAATATCAAAATAGACTTATTCCTAAATAAATGTTTTGAGTGTACTTAAGTTCAAATAAATCTACAGAAAAAGACCGACTTCCAAAAAGACTCTTGTGTAAATTATTCGTGCAATGTTGAAGTTTAGGGTGGGTAGAACTTTTTTATTTTTTTTTTTGAACAAAGTAGGATGTAGAACTTGATGGACATTAGACACAAATCCATTTTTGAATAAATATATACATGTAGGATGTTTCAGAAATTTGGGATGGTGGCTGTTTTGAAGTTCACTGATATGCTGGGCCTTGGTGGATCAAACTTGATCTAAGCCCCCTCGCCAGCTACTACAGAGACCTAAATATCTAACTTAAGTTGTTTATTTAATGACGTGGTGGTTAATAAAATACAGTATTATTATTAGAATTATAATTGTTAGATTTCTTTATTGAAACAATATCNGGTTAATAAAATACAGTATTATTATTAGAATTATAATTGTTAGATTTCTTTATTGAAACAATATCACATAACACATTCTTAATTCAGAAATTTTGATTATATTTTAATGTGCAATACTAATGTTTATCGTATGGATAGGTACTACAAAATAAGAGTGATTTTACGATTGTATTTGGAGAATTTAAATTATTTACTAATCTAATATGTTGACATAATGATGTGACTTTATAGGAATTATTGGATCAATATCAAGTTCTAATGTTTGATGGAACCTACAATCAATTCAAATGTCACAATGAATTAGATCAACAAATTATGTCAATAAATTAAATTCTAATAACTTTGTTTTATATTAAATCTATCCGTCTTTTCTTTTATTCAACATTTAATCATGCTACCAAGTGAAATAGGTGGTGAAGTGGATGGCAAGTCAATGGTCAATCAAGACCATAGGACCAACTATTCCATCAATGTACTTGGACAAACGATTGCAAGATGACAAAGACTATGGCCTCAGTCTGTTCAAGCCAAATGCCGAAGCCTGCATCAAGTGGTTAGACGCAAAGAAAATTGGCTCGGTTGTTTATGTATCGTTTGGGAGTTTAGCCACCCTTGATGAACATCAAATGGAGGAAGTAGCTAGCGGTCTAATGAAGAGCGACTGCTACTTCTTGTGGGTAGTCAGAGCTTCGGAAGAGAGCAAGCTTCCGAGCAATTTTATCAAACAAATGTCGGAAAAAGTTCTTGTTGTGAATTGGTGCCCTCAGATCGAAGTTTTGGCTCACGACTCAGTGGGGTGTTTCATGACTCATTGTGGGTGGAACTCGACACTAGAGGCATTGAGCTTGGGAGTGCCGTTGGTGGCAATGCCACAGTGGACAGATCAAACGACTAACGCTAAGTTTATCGTAGAATTGTGGCAAGTAGGGGTTCGAGTCAAGGTTGATGAAAAGGGAATTGTTACAAGGGAAGAAATTGAGAATTGTGTAAAACAAGTGATGGAGGGAGAAACTGGTAAGGAGCTTAAAAGGAATGCAATCAAGTGGAAGGAATTGGCCAAAGTGGCAATGGATGAAGGTGGAAGTTCGGATAAGAATATTGACGAATTTGTTTCTCAACTTGGTTACACCTAATGTGCATGTATAATAGAGCAGGGGTGGGGCAATCCTAATCCCATACCTGAGTAATGCAGTCCTGTACCTCAGACATAAGGTTTGTTCGTCTGGAGTGCTCGTTTTCCTTGTCTTGTTTTCTTTTCTTTTTGTGGTTGCTGGCTGTTTACCATGGGTCAATAGTTCTTCCAATGTACAACCATTTTAATTCTTATGTAGTGTTATGAAGAGTGTCCTTTTTAATATGTAATTTTCTATTTAAGATTGTACAAGATTGTAATTTAGTGACTGTTCAAGTTAATAGTTGTTGAGCACTCGTGTCACCAAATTAACAATGAATCTTGGGAGAAGGTGCGAAGAAATAATTATGTCTCACAGTTTTAAGTAGCTCACCTGGAATGTAATTGTAATTGGTTAATTTTGTGAAATTTTGTATAAATTTCAACTTCATTTTATGGTCATGATGCTTTAAATATCAAGATCCTTAATCGTCAAGGAAGGGAGTAGTTTAAGCTAAAAAGTCTTATCAAGTGTTTTTCGATGCACCTTCAACCTTAGGATTAGAATGACTAGGATTATGAAAACGCAATTAAGAAAATCCGTGAATGACTCCTAGAGTTGTTCATTGAAAAAGTTTTTCTAAATCCTAAAAGTGTTTTGAAAATAGAGATCGAGTCATTTATTGAACCCTACTAGAGTAACACCCTTTAGTTCTCAATAGGGCTAGTTTTTACTTGTTTTTGATTTTAAAATCATTAGGGACCGTACTATGCCAACTTACCTTTGGTTAGAGTAGTCTATGAACATTTAAGGATAAAATCGGAGAAGGCTAATGATTTGAGCAGTAGAGATCATCCTCTAGACGCTTGCAAGTTGCTCGTGCAGTCTACAGATGGCTTTAACGGTCTCTACTCCACTAATATGGTTGAAACCAATTTTTCATTCTAGTGACAAGTACTCTTCCAAGTTAGAGTAACTCTCTTGTAAGCCTATTTTTTGCCTCTTAAATATTTAGAAAGCTTAGAACAACCTTAGCTCCTTAAATCCTCAAAGGCCTATCCATCTTGATTCTTCTATTCACCTTACACTTTAGAGAAGAAGATCTAGCATTGAGTTCAACAAAACTACATTGGAGTGTGCATTCTAAGGATCTTTGATGCATCCTAGAAGATTGCTTGAAGTGTCTAAATGATCCATTGTTTTAGATGTGTTCAAGTGAAGGAGCTCATAATTTCGGGTGGTGATATCTGGATGAGAGATTTACAACGAAATAAGCGTCTAACCATGATATTGGTTGAGATACCAGACTCGAATACTTGTAAATCGATTTTGAGTTAGTGGACTAAGTTAGGTGAACCAAAAGTGGTTCCAAGGTTTTTCCTGAGAGGTTTCCATGTAAACAAATTGTTTGTGTTGTTGATGCCTCTTAATTTCTTTACTTTGCATCCACACTTGCAATAGCATACATGCGCACAATGTGATGGAATGATTGTTTAATTTTCTATATACCAAATTCATCGATTAAGTTTTGAGAATTGTTGGCTTGGAGGGGATCGATGGATTAGGTGATTTGATGCAGTGAATAACAAAGGCACATAAAGAGATCGCCGTCTCTAAATGTGTAGAACACACACACTCTGAATCCACAGAAAAAGAAGAGAATAACTTTGAAAAATTATTGAATTGTTGAATTGATTAACTGAATAAAATCGCAGTACATAAAAAATTTTATAGGAAAACTAAGAATCCTAAGTTTCCAAATCCCTAATTCTAATATTGTTATCAAATATAAAAAAACACATGTAATAAAATTAGGGAAATTGACATGAGTTAGGTAGCAAAAAAATCTAGAATATTTTTATTTAAACTCTTCTTCTAAATAAATAACAAAAATAAAAAAATAATAATTACTAATTTTCATTCTACATCAAACCCTCCCTCTTAAAAAAAACTCATATTCGAGTTTCCATTACTTGAAACAATTACGCAAATCTGTGTTTATCTATATCTACCTTATACTTTAGATCAATCCTTTCAAGCACTACACAAATGAGAATAATGACTTTCTTTGTCTCAGCTCCTAGAATCAAGGATCTTACAAAATATGTTTTGTAAGATTCTATGGTATTTTTGATTTTGAACTGTTGTCATGTAACCAAATTAATTGGGATCACTTCAAGATACTTGC